AATATGCGAAAGAAGTACATGGGCAGAGTCATCACCCACTTCATTTGGATAAATCTGTGCATGGTTCCTCTTTAAAATTCCCTCTAGTAACTTGACATCACCTGTAGGCCTGTGCTCTCTACCATATGTCTGCACCCCATGTTCATAGATGCTCTCCTCCCCTGGAACGGCAGCATTGGCTGGTGGGGCTGGAGGCGCAAGTGAAGAACAAGCAAAGAAGTGCTGCTCAGTAGCTTCATCTGTGAGCTCTGTACATCTGAGTGACATTTCCTTTGCCTTTTACTTGGCTGTGGTCAATAAATTACTATAAAGCATGTTCAGAATATCAACTGTGCTTTTCTGTTTGCAAGGAATCATTGACATCCTGTGCTAAGAGATTTTTTTCAGATAGAGCAGCTTACTAATCTGTACCTTTTTTTAAAAACATATGAGGAATTCAATGATCTATTCAAAGGTTTTTGCTTCATCATGTTGTGCCTGGGTTGAAGACTTACATGCAAGTTTTGAATAAGACTAAAATGGCAAAAGAATATGCCATTGGAATAATAAATACTTGATCTGTGTTTACTTAGGCAGTAGATTCTTGTGACATACACATGATGACAGTTTTGCCCAGTAACTCATGCAGAAAGCAACTTTTTCCAAGGTACTGTCTTCAGTACGTTGCAAAACAATTAATCTGCTTTAGGCTGCATCTACCGCATTCTCAAGAGAAATCCTACTAAGATTCTCCTAGCATTTGTAATTCAGGAAGGTCAAAGCGCCTTAGCGAACCAGGTCCTGCTGCAAAACTCCAAAATGTTTATTTCTGGAGAGAGGTCCCTTTTAAGCATCTGTGTGCTCAGTGGTTGAGATTGGTTCTTCAGTATTATTGGATAGCTTGCAGAGAAGCTTTCAGCTAACAGAGCTTTTCCCATGGCGTAACTGACAAACTGCTAATTCTTGATACAGTTTTCAGGAGAGGGAGCTATAGTATTTGACAGTAAGGGCATTGTCAATCTGAAGATCAGACTGATGCACCTCTGAATATGCACGGCTGAATGTGCAGCACTCCATTTAAATTTTGCTTTCCATGTTACAAATGGACTGCTGTGCATGCTCACTACACACGTGTACATCTTCTCTCTCTCTTTGCTAGATTGTACTCATCAACATTTTTATTAATATGTATGGCAAGCCTTCCTGACAAATGTGATAGACTGTAAAGAATCTGGCAGAAATCAATAAACATCAAGCAATGAAGAATTTAAATAGTAAATGATGACAGCTTCTTCAGGTTAAAAATCAATAGTAAAATGTTGAATGTGGTCTTGGATGCCACAATCAGGTCATGCTAGGCAGGTGTTCTCTCTTCACCGAGACCTCTGAGGCACCTTTAGTGCAGTGAGGGGCAGGGAGATGCCAGCATGCATTTGAAGAAGCTTGAGTGCCGTGTTTATAGTTGGGGTGAACCCTGCAGTTCGGGTAAATTTCAGAGAAATGCTTTTTAGAAGTTCACTTTGATTGCTGTAAGAACATATCTGTACATATACCATAGAAATTGGGTTGCAAATTCAGCAAGGACAGTATTTTCTGAGGAGGGATCTCTGTCTGCTCCCTGAAGAACACGCAGGAGATACTAGCAGTGTAGCACACTGAGGCATCCTCTGTGCATCGCTCACTGATGCTCCCAGCCTCTCATCCCCAGCTAGCAATTGGACTCTAGCTCTTTTATACTGACTTGATAGGCCAGACTTTTTTTTCTTTTACTGCAAAATGCATTTAAGATGTATAGAGGAGATTTAAAATGGGAGTAGGCCACTAGTAGGTTACTAACTTTTGGAATTTAATTTTTTCCTATTTTGGAGGTTGGTTTGTTTGTTTTTTTAAATGTGTTGAATATTGCAGAAAATCCATAAATTACCCTCTCTGTTGTCAATATCACAGCTATCAATCAGCAGTAGAAAGCCATTCTGCATTCTCCCACCTCCTTCTTTCAGTTTTTTAACTTGACTCTGTCAAAATGAAGAGTCCCAGCACCTTGGTGTCCCTTGTGCCCGTGGAGTTTAGTAATCAGTATCCTTAAAGCTCATCCTGTTTGGGATCTCATTCAGCTGTGCCCTATTCCTGAATACTCTCTCCAGTATAGTGTAAACTGTAAGCCAGTGTGGAACAGTACGGTGCTGGAATTCAGCTGTTCTTGTGGGCAGATTAAACCTGCTGGAAGATGGACAGCATGAGCGAATGATGTCAAATTTTTCTGAGTCTCTAATCTTGAGGTTCCTAAACCAAAAAAAGCCAAATCCCAGATATCCTGCTTTTTAATTTTTTAACTGTCAGGCTTTCATAGGTATAATATAAAAATAATATGTCCTCAAAGATCTATTAAAGTTATTGTGAAGCGCAGTTTTCTTCTCAGATGTAACTAAGAGTCACATGTGTTTGAGAATGAAAAGTCATTCCGACTCATAGATTTTTTTGATTAAAAATATAATTCTGAAGTACCTTTTTTACATATAAGTATACAGAGTGTGCTCTTATTCTGCCTATTTAGTGCTTTAGTACATCCATAACTTTTAGGATGTACCACAATGTTTTTATAAGTAATACACAATGTACATGTGGGCTATTTGTTTTCACAAAGAAACCTATTTTTCTTAGTGTGTAGATTTCGTGTTAGACTTAAAAATAAACTTGTATGTTTTCTTTGGCTTTGAGCCTACCTAAAACTGTAAGTGCATTGATTTAATGTGACAGCTAACCTGTCTATCGTGATAGCCCTCAAAAAAAATTCCTGCTCTATTTTACAGTTGCTTAGGAAGACAACTCTTCCCTGGAGTACTTGAGCAACACGGGGTTATCTGGGGACAACTGTAACTTATTTAAATTTTCCCTGTACGAATGAAAGCCCATTCACTACTCTTGATTATTTTCTGGATCTGTAGGATTCGGCTACTTAATTTGCTCCTATGTTTTGATTCTGTAGAAGTTCAAAAGACAATAAAAGTAGCCCTTTAATTTTTTTTTTTTTTTTTTTTTTGTCTGTTAAGAGAATTGAAGGAAGTAGAAGATGGAACAGAAAGAAGAATTAATTTCCTATGCATGCATTTTTGAGTTTTTGGTAACAATCCTGATTAGCTTTTCTGACCAGTTTCACTAGAAAAAAATGTTTTACAAAAAAACTTACAGGAAGATTTTGTCAGGATTTCCCTGTTTGATTCATCAAGAGAGGGGAATACAGGAAAGAAAAAATTAGCAATTAGAAATGCCTGTTGATCATGCCTGTGTTACAAATATAGTAACATGAAAATCTGTTACGTTGGGATCAGTGGTGGTTTGTTGTTCAGGGTCTGTCCGTTTCATTTTTATGGAATATAAATTCATTCCAGTGTCAGCCTTCTTGGAAGAATAATTTCACCCACCCCTCCCAACAAACAAACGCCACCCATGCCCCCCAAACTCTAAAACCAGAAGAAAATTATATACCTTATTTTCTGGTCTTATTCTATATTTAGCTGACCACGCTAAGAATTATTGTATCTAGGGCAAATTGCTTCTGATTAATCATTATGCAACCGGATAAAGGTTCATAACAACAACAACAAAAAAATCTTGCATTATTAGGAAGCAATGCCAGAATTTGTCTCAGATCATTTGCAGTAATTGTCCTCCTTGGGAAAGAGCTTAGCTGTGCCATGTGTTTTTATGTTTTATCTAATCTGGTGTAACTGTGTGTTGCCACTTCAAGGGTGGTCACAGATTCCTCCCTTATATCTCTGCATTTCTTCTTGCATCAAATCAAATGATCACAAGACCATGGGTCAGTGAGATCAGCCATCTGATCCCAGAGGAAATTGTTGTACTAGGAAAAAAAATCATTTGGGGGCCTGGTCATCTTTCTGATCTTGCAAATGTGCACTGTCTAGATCTGTTGCATGGTTTTTGGAGAAAGGTCGGAAGTCTTTTTCTCAACAGCAGCCTGCACTTGCATCAGTTAGACTGGGTCTTTAACTCATGGCAGTATATAAAGTGGCCATTCGGTTCAGTTCTACATGTTCTGTAAACACTGTAGGATTGGTGTGCAGGCGTAGAGCTTCTTATAGCTTGAATGTATTAGGGTGTTCTAATGTACGTGGAAATACCCAGTAGAAGTCCACTGGCCACTAATCCCGAGTGATGGTTGTTCAGTACTATTTGAGGTGAGGGGGTGTTACAGAAGATGTAGACTAGCATGGAAAGTAGGAATGTGATCTGCTAGAATACAGACCTTACTCATTTCCCCCCCCGATATTCTAGCCAATTCAGGTACCTTCCTTTTCAAATTATGATCACCCAGAATAGAGTTAAGGTCACTGTAAGGCTGGCAATGTAAAATACTCACTAGGAAATGAAACAGCACATAGCCATGAAACAGCAAAAATCTGTCAGATATAATATATAGAGGTTTTTGATAATGGTGTTTAAGGAAAGAAACTTCCTGATAAAATGAGCTGAGTTGCACTTCTGATTACAATTTGTTTTGTTCTTTGTTTGTCAGTGAGGCTGTATGCAACTGAGGGCAGAAGTGAAGGTACTTAAATATGATTTGACTAATTTGCTTATTGACTTGATGTCCTTAATGTGTGATCTTCATGTTTATAATGTGTCCACATGGAGAAATTGACTGAAGTAGCTCACGTGAAGCTTAAATTAAGAACACATAGAATAACTTCTTTTTCTGCAATGAATTCTCTCCTGACTTAAAAGCTTATTCTTTAATATTCTGGTTAATTTACTTAAGGGTTGACTTAGGAAAATGTCTAGTACTTCGTGTCTTTCTCATTCAAAGTACAGAAATCCTAATCTTAAAAATTCAAGAATTTGATAGCCATTTTACATTTCATTGTATTTTTATATATTAGTGTGCTCTAAGTCTAATATTTTTTCTATTGTTTCTGCTATCTGATCAATCAGGAATTTGGTTTTAATATAGAGAATTCTGTGAAGAAGCATGAGATGTGTTTCCCTGTGCTCTTTTTTAGTGAGATGACAAAAACAGTGGAGATTTCTGGGGAAGGTGGGCCCTTGGGAATACATGTAGTGCCCTTTTTTTCATCTTTGAGTGGAAGGTAAGCTATTTTCTGCATTGCTCAAGAAGTATATTAATGAAAGGATTTCAGTTGTGGTTCTCATAAAATACTTACTATTTAACCATAAGGAAAAGAAATGCTTAAAAGAAAATTCGTACTTGAGTCTATGACACTGTCTTCCATTACCGAAATATTTACTAGTCTAAGTTACATATAAGACAATACCAACCCCTTTGTTCAGATATGTCCTTTTAATTGCTTCTAGTTTTATTCTCTGAATGGTAAACTAGACTCTGTAGAATAATGTAATACTAACGGTGTGGGGGCTAGGGGGTTGGTTGTTTTTTGTTGTGTTGGTTTGGTTTTATGGGTGTGGGGTTTGTTTTTGGTTGTGTGTGTGGCTTTTTGTTTGGGTTTGTTGTTGGTTGGTTTTTTTTGGGTTGGTTTTTTTTTTTTTTTTCCCCCAGTTGGATTTCTCTGCATAGGCCCTTCCTTAGTGACATATCAGACAAGAAAAGTAAAACAATTTGATTGCCTGGTCATGCCTCATATTTTTCAAGCCAGCTTTCAGATTTGGTTGTATAGCATTTATAAAAATGTGCACTATACCATGAACCTTTCTTTGTCACAATACAATTACTTTAATTATAAATGATTTAACATAGTCTCTTGAGATCACAAAAGCCTATTATAGCAGCATGCTCATATTGATGTACTGTAGTTAAGACTGTGTCAGCATTTTCATTACAAATGTTTTCCAAGCTATGTAACTCAGATGTTAAAAAAAAAAAAAAAAAAAAAAAAAATTCTAAGCTGAAATTTGACACACAGAGTCTTAGCCAGATAGTTAATTTGACACTGGCAGCCCTGAATAAGAGATGGGAAATTGCCAGTGCCATAAATGACACTACTTTATAGTAAAATGGCTGCCTGTAACACAAAGACAATTATTGCAAAAGTAAAAATTGTATAATTCTTAAATGTTTCTTTATTTGTCAGCTTTCATGTAGGACAGAGAATGTGCAGGATTAAATCGCCTTGTAAAAGTCTGTATGTGTAAATGTTTTCTCAGCAAGACCTGGATTTTTGTAAGTGGTCCAAATTCATTCAGAATGTTTCATTTGCCAAAAGGGAAAATAGATGTCCACTTGCTGTCTGGAAAAATGTTGTCACTGTCTCAAAAAGAAAGTTGGTCTTTGGGAACTGTAAGAGGTCTGAGTTGTGTCCTTGGCTTTGCAGGCTGCCTGTTTGTCTTGAGAAAGGCACTTGTATTTGTTACCCCATCATGAAATGCAGACAATAGCTCTTTGTTATAGGCATGCCATAAAGGTCGTAGTGTGTACACTGTATTTCAAGATCATTAGGTAAAAAATGTGATGAAATTGCAAGCTTTCAAAATCAGTAATTATTGTGCCTGTAATACAGTTCTGTACTGAAGTATTGCTGTGTTGGGTGCAGCTTTTAAAGACCTCCATGAAGAAGAAGTGGAGTTCCTTGGTCTATTTTGCGTGCATGTTAATATGTCCTTATTTACAAATGCTTTTGGGGATCCCCCAGAGAAAAGAGTTTTTTGACAGACGGACTACTTCTTTAGACAGTTATCTTGAAATTTTAATGACCCTTGGCAGAACCATACTGGTATCTTTGTAAAAGCACTGGAGTGGCTTAAATCGCTTGTCCCTTTTATTTAATCAAGCCTGAGACTAGTGTATAAATTTTAACTCATCATAACATGAGAAAGTACAGAAGAGCATATTTTATTTCTGTTAATGACAAGATACAATTTATGGGGGCACACTGGCCATGACTAACTTGGTGTGGTATTTCAAATGTAAAGTTATCTTCTAATAAGGTAACACTGGCTTTAGCCTAGTGCTGCTGCAGAGCAAAGTTTTTCTAGAGGTAGTTAAAACATTGCATTAATTTACAAAATCTTAGTTTATACAGGAACTACAAAACTAATGGAAATAATTTTTCCTCTTTCATTTGCACTTAGATATCATTAAAAAAGGAAATTAAAATTTAATAGTGCATTAAAATAATGCTAAAATTGAGGCTGTGGAAAAAAGTAATGGAGCGATGAATTTAAGCTGCCACAGCATGTGTAACTCAAGCCGCTCATTCAGATACTACAGCACAGACGAGTTTCAGACAAGTGGGCATTGCATATATATCCAATAATGCAATCCTATTGCATTATATGGATGCAGCAGCTAAACACAATAGGATTAGTGAAGATCGTAGCAACCGACTTAATTTGTAGTTTCTTTTATTTCTTGACTTTTATTGGTTTGCATCTTAACGTAGTTATATTTCATTAGTTCTTAGTGTTTAGTTTTTTGATTGCCACTAGTTGGATGTTTGTCATCAATAGGGCTGCGGCCCCTCACCACCGCTGCCCCTTTGAATCCTTTAGTGAAGGGTAACAGGTTGCAAGAGAATCTTTATGCGATAGATTGAATCTTTTTTTTCCTGTGTTTTGAAGAAGTAATATTCAGTAGGAACCAAGTTTTCACTTAGAAGTACATTGATATGACATAAATATAAATTTTTAAATCTTATTATACAGTAAATCTAAAATCTGGTGCATGGTGAATATAGTGTCATTTGAAATATTTAATGGCGTGCTGTGAATCTGTTGGATGAACTTAAATATGAGGGGCGGTCACGAATGAGAAAAATTACAAGACTTCTGTTTTGTGATTGGAGTGCTGGCACATTGGAAATTGCACATCAATATTTTATGGAGTATAACCAATAGAAAATGGTCTCTAAAGGTCATCTGTCTTTGGTGCTGGTGTGGTATGGAAATTTAGTGGATAAAACTTGATTATAGAAGGCCTTCACAAACATGCAGTTGTCAGTTTTTTTGGACGTTATACCGGTATCATTGGATATATCTATGTTGAGTTGTAGTCTGCAATACAGAGATGCTCCAGGCAGGTTAGAAATAGCCTAGCGCTCCCAGCAGAGTTAGCCACACTGGAATTTTGCACTACCCACACTTGTTCACTTAACGCATTATCAAAAGTTTCTGTGCTGCACCTCAGTTTTCAATTTGCACATAACCTGGTATCAAACAACTTAGGTTTTGATGTTCTGCTACTCTCCTGCCACATAAACAAATAGTATTGCTGTCATGTATCAAAACAAGGGGCTTTGGCAACTGAAAAGTTTCAGAGACTTTTCAAACATAGAAATAGTGGGGGTTTTTTATCTTATTCTAATGACCGTTTAGTTTATTATAGTCGAGTTAGCAAATTACTTTTATTCTATTTGTGCTTTTCTTTGGGGCAATGTAATCTTACTTAGTGGCAGACAAATATTGCATAAGCTACATTCAAATTTTTAACTGAGATCTAGGTGTTTTCCTCTGTTTCTCCAAGTATGATCTACAGGACTTAATGCTTCCTGAAGTTTTAGCAAGTAGTATAGCTTTAGTGTCCAGCAATTTTTCTTGGTGTTTCTTGCAATCCCCTCCCTGTTAGTTAAAGAGTGAGCTGGAAATCCTTTCTTTAGGTTAAGCACTTCATTATGGTCTACTCTGTCTCACGTCATCTCATACACAGTAGAGATTATAGCAACTAAAAATAGATATTAAATTCATACCAGCGGAATAAAGGATAGTTTTCACTTTTGTTTTTGCCTTTTAGGATGCTGGGACTCTTCATCCGTGGTATTGAAGAAAATAGCAGATCTAGGCGTGATGGGCTTTTCCATGAAAATGAATGCATTGTGAAGATTAACCACGTAGACCTTACAGATAAAACCTTTGCACAGTAAGTGCTGGTTTACTGATACTTTTAACTATTCAGGATTTTATAAAATGCTGTGTTTATTAAGTGATTCATGCAAGGGGATTAATATTTATTTCAGATAAAATGCCTGTAAAATTGATACCTGGCAGAAACTTTGTAATTTTCTTTCTGAAACCTCCAAACAAGGTGAAATTTGAGGAGAGGAATCTTCTTTGTAGTCTCAGTGAACCTATTGTGCTTACTTAATTTAAATAGCTTTAAGTTTTTTAATAGTTATCTTCATTTTCTAATTCTTCTATTATTTTTTCTGTATTTCCTTTGTAATTTGTTCCTCCTAAGACCTTCAGAATGAGTCAACATTGCAGCATGTTTTTTGATATTCTTTTGCAAGTGAAATAAGATTTTTTTTTTTTTGGTGCTGCAGCTTTTTGAGCATTTAATTTTTTAAAAATACGAGTACTGTCAAACTATGATTAGTTGAGCTAAATGGTAAGTCTCACCTCTTACGACTTTTATTAAAAATCTGTTGACATTTATTATCTATCTCAAATTACTTTAAGTAACAAGTTGCTTTGATCGGCTGTGAATTAATGTGACATTGTTGCACAAAAGAATAGCCTCTCAAATTTCACAGATATTTGCTGTAGTAATCAAATAGTAATTTGTTTTTACTTTTAATCCATATGTTTAGACAGCTGAGTGATTGTTTATAATATAACAAAAACCTATTGAGATCTCAAGGGAGTTGAGGCTTAACTTTCTAAACAGTAAGCCAAATGTTCATTTCTAGACTAAAATCAAATAAGTAATTTCAGTGTTAGGGATAAATATTTGCAAAATAGGTTTTTATAAAACCAGTGTAGTTCTGTAGGTAGGTATTACCTTATTTCTGAGGCTGTGTTTTTTGCCTTCTGATAGGTTTTTGAGTTACTGTTTTCTGACTATTTGGTGGTAAATGTATTCTGATGTGATAGAGTACATGCCATTCTCTTCCACCCATGGAAAGTTCCTACATAAGTTATCAACTTTATCAGAGCATAAGTGTTGGTATCATAATAAAATGTTCGTTGCCTCACCCGTGCAGTTTTGTAATGAAGATGTATCTTTCTCAAATGAGATTTTGCCTGAATCAAAACCTCTCTTTTCAAAATTGTATGTGATCTTTTCTTTACAAATTTATTGTATCCTTTGTGTTCTCTTCACAATGTAACTAGATCTCCAGAGGCTTTAAGCCCGTGAGATGTATGTGGAGTGGAGGACTGCATATTCTTCTGTGAGGTTACTAGATTTTGGGTCGGTTAGAAATATTGCAGTAAACTTTCCAGTTCTCTGTCAGGCTTCCCTTCAAAATGAGAAATGCAGGACACTTTGCTTTTTCCAAGTTTGTGTAAAGTTTTGGGAGTTGGAAGGGGTATTTACAAAGGCAATTGTTAGTTTAGAGAGGCCACTCTTGTTAGATGATCTGTCATTGGGAGAGTGAAAGAGAGAAGTGACTAAAAGGTGATTCAGAGCAGAGCCTAATTTAGTTGGTCTAATTCACCTTATGTTACAATAACAAGTAGTGTGGTTGCAGTGGCATTGGATCTGAGGAGAAAAACTGTGGGCAGTGAGGACTCAGCATCCGTCTGGAGACTGGACATCCATTTGGACAAGCTCTAGCCTGGTCCCATGTCCTGTTATGTTGCTCTCCTGAATTGCCTTCCAGAATAGCCTTCTGCATCATCTCTCTTCCCTGGCTGTTGAGAATGGCTAAAGAAAGCAGCTTTTTGGGTTGAAACTCATCTCAGTGAATACGCCTTTTAGTTTTCATCTGGCATGACATAACTGTACTAACCTGACAGAAGTTCAAGTTACAGAAATGCAGTGATTGTAATGGATATGACAAAGTATTGTCCCAATGACTATTGACCCAGAAATAGTCATCAGATTCTCCTTTGAGAGGAAAATCTGTTTGCTAGTTTCAAATTGACATTTCCTCATAACCCTTGTAAAAGCTGTTTTAACACTTAACAGAGACTGTTACATACTGTCTCTTTCCATTTTCAGCAGAAACTTTCTAGTATTGCACCTGATGATTGCTGCTTCTGTAGCTGTAATAGGAGCAGCCTACTTTCTGTATTCCCATGTTTATAATGGTTTTATATATTGGGACTGTTGGTCTGCTTTTTCATTTGCTGTTAATCTATTCAATTACATTCTGTTGTGTTGCAGAGTTTCTAGCACCTCTTTTAATTGACTCCCTTATTTCTTTAAAGTATGTGTTTGGGGTCTCAAGAAATGTAAATTTCTCCATCCATTATTTTTTCTCTTTGAAGTGCAGCCAGTTATTTTGCCCCTGGAGACTGCATTTAGGCTTTCCCACAGGATGTCTTGCGTTATTTCCACTATTTTTTGTTTGAAGGAGATCTTATATTTTCTCTTTCATATATTTAAAAAATGAATCTCCTGAAACTGAGTTAGTAAATTACCTTGTAACACATGGCCAAGTGGCTACTTGGAAGGATGAAGACAGGGTGTGAAAGGAATCTGCTTAAGACTTTACATCCTTATGCTGGGAGTATGCCATGGTTTTTACAATCAGGGTAAGGTCTGTCCTTGAAAACCTTCACAGGCTATAGGTGAGCAGGTAACCTATAACCCCTGCAGACACACTAGGACAGTGCTGTTTCAGTTCTGAAACCTAACCCTTGAGGGTGGTACTGGAAGAATACCTTCCCACAACATTCTCCCTGCTACCTTTCCAAGTTTGAGGTTTCTCTTCTGGCAGTCTCCTGTCAAAGAATGCGGTTATTCTGACTCTTAGTGCACGTACACTCAGTGTAGCCAAAATGGTTCTTTCCCACCACAGTATCCATTGGGACTGCCTCCTGACTTCAGTGTCTTCATGCTGCAAAAAACCCTCTCGAAACAGCCCCTCCCTTCCACTACCTACAGCTGCTAGGTGGGGGTACTGTGCGGCTCTGTTGATCTGGGAAAGCAGTAGGTGTGTATTCAAGATGTTAATGTTTGTGGTGGCTTCCTTTCTGTATCAGTGTAAAAAACTGTTTATTTCGGAAGTACTTTCAACATTGACTCCTGTTGCATAACTGAGTGTAAATCCAAAGCCAAGACTTCCATGAAATACTGACTTTGCCTGACTGGCAAACATGCTACAGAAAGGTAGGAGATGCGTAAACTGTTCTCAAAATGACCCCATGATTTATTTAAAAATTAATGTGGCCATTACTTCCCCTCTTGACCCGATTCTGCTAAGCAGGAGTTCTTGATTTTTTCATTCTCAAAATGTGCTTCAGCTACTACTTCTGTTTGTACTTGAGTTGTCTTCTGCAGTATTGAAGAATATCAGTTGACTAGTAGGAGAGGAAAGCATAGAAAGAAGTCTCCTTTGTTCCTTTAGAATCCAAGGTTCGTAAAATGTCTTGACTGACCAAATCTACGGTTGTTCAAAATCCAGGGAAGTCTGTATGAACAGTTGCTTTGGCCAACTTGTCTTAATTGCCTTTCAATGCACGGGAACCCAACACTGCATTGTTACCATGTTAATTAGTTCAAGGGGAACAGTTTCACTAAATGCTCTAACACAGTTTCTGGTGTTACAATTGAGCACACCTATAAAGACATTAATTAAGTGAAGTCCGCATATCCACCTCAGCAAGAGATTACCACTTGAAAGGTGTGAGTAATATCTACCTATTCATTTATCCTTTATTGTAGAAACACACAAATAGTTGCACCTTTTGTGGTCACCAGTTTTTTTCCTGATGTCTATATATTCCGTACCATCATCCTTTCCTGTTGCACCATTTGCAGTCACAATATTTCTTCTGAAGATATCCATATATGCCATACCCTCATCCTTTTTTATTGGTGTGGAATCAGCCAGCAGTTGCATTAGGGATGATGAAAGAATCTGAGGGGTGGTTAGGCTGTACTCGGAAAAAATGGAGTCTTGAGCTTGCTCATGGTAGGTGTATCCACCAGAGCAATTGGTCATAAGTGCTCAGTGTGCCTCTATGCCAACAAGAAAATAGATACCAGACAAATACTTGAGAAAAGTAGCAAGCTATAGCTTCAGGAGTCTTTTGATGAGCTTTTGCCGTGAGAACTTCCCTTCCTGATGTGCTGCATGAAGAATTGTGTTCATTAGTTTATTCTGGCTGATATGTTTTCATAGCAGCCTAGGAATCTTGACAGATGTGCTGTTCCTACTTGAAATGTAAGGAAATGCTGCAGCTTAGAAGACTTATTTCATGCACACTTTTTAGAAAAGGGACCCTGTAGATGTGAAGGTAAGGTTATTTCTTCACATTTAAGATAAATTTTTGTCTTATTCTCTGTAAACAACTTCAAACTTTGCCCAAATTTTCCCATTTGTTATGTGAATTTTCATACCTTTCTTTTAAAGGGCTCAGGACATCTTCCGTCAGGCAATGAAATTTCAAAGTGTCATCTTGGAAGTCCTTCCTCCATATAATCGAGAACAATATGAGAAGTCTGCTATTGCTCCCCTTTGTTTTCTGGATAACGAAGAAGGAGTTCCAAAAACAAAGATTCCACCTCCTGTTCATCCAAAACCTGCTCTGAAAACAATTAATCTTTCTGGAGCAAGCAGCTTGGAGGCAGGTGTACAGGCAACACGACAACAAGCTAAAAGCCCCAACCTCCCATGTCTGGGTAGAAAGTCATCTTCTCCCTCACTGTCTCCCCTTATGGGCTTTGGCAATAAAAAAAATGCAAAGAAAATAAAGATAGACCTGAAAAAAGGTAAGTCTTTGGAGATGACATGGTTTAATTCTATATAATGTTCTCTGTATTGATACCTTAACTTTTAACTAAACTAGTGACACTAAAAGTACAAGCAAGTTATTTACGATTTGAAGTTCCAAAACTTCCAAAATGTAAAAGAATATTCCAAAAGGTAAAGGAATGTTAACAGTAATGTTCTCAACAGTCAGCTTTCTCATAAATTTTGGATGCGTGTTATCCAGTCTTACTGATTTTTAAAACATCTCGGTTACTGATTATGTGGAAGGTATTTCATTAGCAACATGCGATATTATGATTCAGCCTTTTTGCAAGTACAGAATAAAAATTTGAACTGTCTGCTGATAATCTACTTGTTATTTTGATTCATATCTGCTAATTGACCAGCACTGTTATGACATACTTTTAAAGATATGTTTAAAAATATACTCTGCTCTGTTTCACATTATCCAGGAAGTTGACCACAGATTTTCCTGTCCTTCTCTTTTTTATTTTCTACAAACCTTTTCTTTCCATCTGTATTTATTCAGCTGTCAGCAGGCCGAATTTTGTGCGTGTACCTTTAATTGCTGCTCCATGAAGATGTCTGCATGGAGTAACAGGTTTATGCACATGTAGTAAAATGTTCTTAAGCAGATCCCAATTAGCATTTATATTTTCTGTTTCGTTTCTGTCTCTGATTTGGCTGAGAGTTAAATTTGATGCTAGAAGTGGCCCTTTTAAAAACTGTCTGTAACTTTATTCTTTTAACACATAACGAATGTAATCAAGCTGTCATTTCTTAATTTTTGTTATTTCTTAAATCACTCATTTTTACTTCTAAACTCTTCAGCTTTGCGTTAACAAAACCTGCTTCAGAATTTTCCCCATTTTAGATGTAATGCTTTTGATTTTGGGACAGTAATTTATATTTTTAGAAATGATAGGAATATGATACTGACATGGTATCTCTGAAAACTATCACATGGGTAGCAATCCTGCTCAATATAAAAAGATTTTTATGGACCCTGCTATTCCTGGGTGATTTTGGTGATTTATAAGCAATACCTGCTCATATTGATTTTACTCCCTAATGATTTGTTAAAACATTTACCTGTTAACACTTGAGGTGGTTTATTTCCAAGCAGCAAATAACTTCATGAAAGGAAGCTTTGAAATATCACTTGCTGTTCTTAGCAGTGTGTAGTCAGCATTTTTTGCATACAAATCATGTGACATTTTCTACTTTTCACCAGGTTTCAGTAAAACCTGCTAAATTATGTTTATGCTCATAAATAAACAATTCTGATTGCTCTGATTTGTTTCAAAGACTATTGAGGTTAACGTGAAGGCTGATACTAAAACCACCTAGAGAAAAGGTAAACACTTCAAAATGAGAGTTCTCGCTTGTTTTGTATTATTGTGGGCTATCCAAAAGTATTTCCATCTGTAGCTGTTGCAGGAGGATTTGAGCATGTGTTTTGACATTGATAGAATTCTTCTCTAGACCACGCAGAAAATAGGCTCATGTTTACAGCTTTTTGTTTGCTTTCTTTTTTTAAGAGCTAACCTGAATGAGCGTCTGTGCTAGTTACTGACATTGTTTACTTACTTCTAGCGATCATCATTTGCTTGTTGAAATTTATGTTGGGAGTTCTTTATCTGACCTTCTAGGTCCAGAAGGACTTGGTTTCACTGTGGTTACCAGAGACTCTTCAGTACATGGTCCTGGTCCGATTTTTGTGAAGAATATTTTACCAAAAGGTGCAGCAGTGAAAGATGGTCGTTTGCAGTCAGGAGACAGAATCCTGGAGGTTAGGATATACATATACATCCATTGTACTTGCATTGCTGAGTATTGATTGCTGGTTTTGGCATAAATATTTTACTTCCTTATACATACTACTGATGTATGGAATTAAAATTCTTTACCTTGGTTTAAAAAAAAAGAAGTCATGGTTTTTGTACTGTTTGTCAACAAGTAATCGCGATTGGGAAAAAGGTGCTTTTCACAAGGGTTCATGGGATGTTTGAACACGGCGGATCTGATAACATCTTGGTTCCTAAAGCAGATAAATGTATCAGTTTAGAAACAAAACGTGTCTTGCCTCTTCAGCCATGTCCAAAAAATCTCTGATTAATATTGACGTGGTTAAGTGCTCATTTTAAGGCAATTTTGCTCAAATCAGTCTGTTTAAAATTTTCAGATATCTTGTAACCTACAGCCTCATTATCTAATGGGTTATTTCTACTTACTAACCTCAAAAAGCTCTTAAGGTAAACAGTTTTAATAATACTTAGGTCTTGTTTTTGTACTTTTCATCTTCAAAGTGCTTCACAAACTAATTAAGCCTCACAAACCCCCTGCAAGGTGGGTAAGTACTACAGACTTGCTTTTAACAGATGGTGAAAATGAGGGGAAAAAGGTTAAGAGATTTGTGCAGGGCCAGAGAGGGAGACAGTGTGGGAGCTGTTGCTAGTTCTTCTTTGCTCTCAGTCACTGAATGACACCTGTGTTAGGTGAGGGGAAAATGGCGAAAGACAGTAATACTCACAGATACGACATCCTCTGTTCGTTTGTGTCTGGTAGGTGAATGGACGGGACATCACTGGCAGGACCCAGGAAGAGCTTGTAGCTATGCTGAGGAGCACAAAGCAAGGGGAAACTGTCTTTCTGATTGTGGCTCGTCAGGAGGAGGCCTTTCTACCTCGAGAGCTGGTAAACTTGGTATTTTGTCCTGAAGAGTGATACTGAAACAATTCCATGTTTTAAAATTAGCCTAAGAAATAGAAATGAACTGTTGGTGGCTGAGAAAGCCAGCAAATGGTAACTGTATAAGGCTTGTGTTTGAGAAGTATTTATACTTACATTTGATTTTGATGGATATTTGATTTTATCTACTTCAGATGCAATTCCACGCAATCTGATTTTTTCATCCCAAAAATGACATCATAAGCATAACTCACTGAAATACTGTGAATGAATCTTGTAACTGTGAGGTCAGGCATGACTGAAAATGGATTACTGTCTTGCAGAAAAGCAACAAACTTTAAACCAGAAGTTTAAAATGCATGTAATGAGTCCTGCAGCTTATCAGTAACAAACTAGTGAGAGTGGCTGCCCCCAGGAGATGCATCTCCTAAGCCAGGTGCCAAACTGCGGGAGTAGTGAGGAATAGAATTCCATCGCACTCCTCACAAATTTTGGCAGCAAGCTTTTCCTTGGCTGCTAGTCTTTGACTTAATAGGCTCGTGCATGTCTGATTTTGTTATACCTCAAGTGCTTAATTTTCACTTTTTTTTTTTTTTTTAAAACGCTGGCATGAAACTGTGTTCTCTTTTTCTCTCGCATAGACAGAGGAGGACTACATCACTGTAAAAGTGCTATCTGATATATACTTGTTTCCCCTCAAAGAAGGTCATCTCTCTGGTCGCCTCGCCTCTTCCTTATCTTGATTGATGGCTATACTTGACCTTTCATTAAGAAGTTCTCAGGATAAAGGAAGGACAGCATTTCCTGCTTTTGTCTCATTTTATCTCCTTTAAAGAACATAAACCACCTTCATTCTTTTCTTAGGATGCCGCCTTCTTGCTTTTCCTTTTGCTTTAGACTGTTAGCAGGATCTTCTACAGAAATCCTCCATTATGTTTCCTCACAGAACATTGCTAACAGTTTTCCTCTTGTTTCCTTGTTACCAGTTGGACCTTGTTGAGGTAAGGGTGTCTGTTGCCTGTGGTAGGATAAGAAGCTGGAGGGGAGTTCAGATGCTCTAATGAGCCTTTCCTCTTGTGCTGCTGGTGCCCACTTTTTCCTGTAGTAGAGCAGTTGTGAAGTGTCCTAACAAAACTATTTTTGTTTTCATTTTCCTTTTTTATTGAGTAATCTTTAAGGAGGATAATGGCAGAATATTTTCAGCCCTGTAATTGGGCATTCATTGTCAGTGATTCCCAAAGCATCAAAGTCAGTCATTGTAATGCTCTATTTAGTAAGCCCTGAGCTGTAGGATCAGCGTCTGTGTGGATCGGAAGGGAAATTTCTGAGTTTGAAAGTACTAAATTATCTATCATATTTAGGATTTCTTTTCTTCCACCAGCTCTTCCAAGTAAGAGCTTATTTTTTGAAAAGGCTAGCCATCAACAGTTTCTTCTTGAGGGTTTTTAAAGTTATAAAACACATTACTTGGAAAATGTACTTTTTAAAAAAGTATGTATTCTTCTTTTATCTCTCCTATTCCCTCATCATTGCACATTATTCTTTATTGAAATAGTACAGATTCTCTTGTAAATCACTGTAACAGTGTGTGGGTATAAAAGGCTGGAAGAATCTAAAAGCTATTTATAATTTTTACCTGCCACAATTGCCTGCTATTAAATTCTGGCCCCTACAGCAAGGATTAACTACCTTTCAAAAGGTGACTTACTTATGACTGGCATGATTGAAATCCAGAAAGTAGCCACATTTATCCTGCTGGCTTGACCTTGGTTTAGATTGCTTTCTCTGTGAAAGAATGATGCACAAGTGATGGCCCGCACTGTAACAGTGATGATATGTGAATTCTAATACTGTTCCATGTTTCTTGTTATCCCAATCAAGTACAGTATAATACAAATGCGAGTTACTGAAATACGTTAGATAACTTTATGGAACCAGCCCTTCTAAATTAAAAAGCCTTTCAGCGACATGTTTGGTAGCTCACGGCAAAAGTGTGGGTTACCATACCACTAAGCTACCAGATGTTGATACTAACATGATGCTTGTTAGAATTCATGAGATGTCTGAGAATAGTCTCAGCAAAGAGTAAAAAAAAATAAATCAAAATTGGTTTAGCTCTTTTGGTTTTAGCTTTAGCTGTGACATTACATTGGACTAATCCTTTGCTACCTCAAAAGTTACAGTGCTGTTTTGATCAAAGAGGAGAAAAAAGCCAGCACTTTAAATGTTTGTTTTTGGAAGGAAAGGCAGTGGATAATCCAATATTTTTCAAGGACAGCTGTAACTGAATGCTCTGACTGTGTCACATGCATGCAGAGTTCACCTAAATACTTGGGGTTTTTGTTAATGCCTGGCAATAATAGGGTAATTGCTTTATATCAGACTTGTTCTTGATTTGAGCAGTTCTCCAGAGATTATAATCTGAGAAGCTGTTTTCTTTAGATTCCCTGTTACCTACCTGTTGAAAGGAGAAGGAGGACAGCCTAGTAAACGTGCCCACTCCCCACAGCTTCCTGTGGCAAAGATGCCCCTGGAACTTGGACCTGCTAGATACCGTGCACAAAACCACTTTTGAGCATGTTGCTCAACTAGAACTGGGTTGCTACACTGATTTCTGGAAAGAATTTGATAGCTGCACAGGCACAAAACAAATCATGTAACAAAGTAACAGCGGGTGGCATTTGCTTGTGTGGGTCTGTAATAATATAATTTGACTTTGCCTTGTAACACAGCTGCGGTTTGGAGAAAGCTTGGTCTCACGAATATTTTCTCTTCAGTAAGCTAGATGGGAGTAGAGTTTGGGGGTTTTGCTACGGTGATCTATGCTGATGAATTGCTGGCAAGTAGAAAAATACATTCAGAGTAGCAAACCTTTACCACACCAGCCAAGACAGCGATGTGATATGGGTGAGGATGAATCAGTGTTGCAAACAGGCATTATTAAATTATAGGGAATTGGGGCTTCAGTTACACTAGCCCATGCAACATCTAAGAGTTGTACAGTTACATTGTTTGCACATAATGAGGGAATAAAATAGAAAACCCCATCTTTGTACTGTTGTTACTGCTTTAAAAAAAGAGGAGGATCTAATGAGATTTTTTTTTTAATTGTAGCAGATCACTGAAGTAGAATTTGGACCAACCACAGGCTGTCCTTATTATCCAGTTAGCCAAATGTTCCCAGTAATTCATGCCAGCTGTTGACAATGTAGCAGCTGAGTAAGGAAGCTGATTCCAAAACTCAGGGGAAGACCTTGATTCACTTAATTACCACAGTCTACAGAGTGGCCGGTGATTAGTGCATTCTTTAAGGTGCATTTGGGTTTTAAACTGTGTAACACTGATTGTTTTCTAAAGGATGGTGAATATTACAGAGAGAAACTGGCTTAACTGAACAGGTCTGGATTTTCCAGCTCTTATCAAAGTAAATGAAATACACATCAAACTGTGGCTATCATTCTATTGTGTTTTGAAAATACAGTGTTTTGATCATGAGTCTTTGTTGCATCTTGTTTTTTCTTCAGGAAAAATGTGTGATCTGAAGGTGCCATTTCTTTAATAATGATATAAAGATCACTTACTCCCCCTTCTTTTTCTTTATTCCTGCATTGGTAAAACAAGCAAAGCTACTTGAATGAGACCCGCTCTGGCGTAACCCATTCTGCGCCATGACCCTATGCAATTCTTTATTCTTCTTATTTTTCATGAGCCTTCAGGATAGTGGATATGATGCACATAAGCAGAGCAATGTGCCTGTTCTGCAACTGCCAGAAATAATATAGCACCGAAAATACTGATGCATTTTTCTTTGTTAGAGCACATACATAGTGTAAGTTTTGCATATGCTTTGTTTTTTGTTTTAAAGATAGCTTTGACTTACCAGTTTCAACTGTAATCAGTATTTCTATGGTTTCTTGGCATATTTACTGATCCCTGAAGAGTGGAGGAGGAAAGGGAACAAACCAGCATTTTTACAACAACTAAAAGAACAACAATGTATATAATGTAGCAGTTGATCTTTAACTCTGACTCTTTTTTTACACATGTACTATACAGGATAGAAGGAACCAGGATGAGAGACAAGTTCAATTAAGCATTTTTTCTGCTTACCGTGTGATTAACTTTTATGTTTCAGTCTTCCCCTAGTTAATTCCTTCCACTACCTTGAACTTCTATGCCTGAAGGAGAACTTCTTGTTTGCCTGAAGTGTTTTCCTTTTTGTTTTTAATATTCAAAGCTTAATTTCTATTACTTCCTTTTAATTGTTTCTTACCTTTTTATGTGCAGGAAATAATAGGTGACATTTCAGCCTAGACTTGACCATTTTTGCACCTATTTTTGTAGGTCAAACCAGTGATTTTAGTGCTCATTTAACCAGAAATGGTCAAATAATTTCTGTCACAGAATGATTCCAGCCAGTACCGATTCTCTGTTGTGTTATCTCTATTCAAAGGGAAAAGAGTCTGATAGGAAAAAAAAAAAGTCAATATACATATATTGGATTTCAATAACACATACAAGATTCAGTTCTTGAATTGTTCTGCATAATGAACAGGAGGATATTGTGTATACACATGGCACCCTTCATCTTGAATAACTTTATAAACTATGTAGATTTTTTTAAGTCCTGTTTTTTTTCCAAGCACTTTTGAAAGAAAGTGTTTAATTTGGGGCCTGTAGATTCTCTTTATCTAGCATAGTTGAGAAATGAGTGTAGGTTGTGTCTACACAAATGTATCTTTTTAGAGTGAAAACATCGTGTAGTGCAGCCCCTCAAAGGTTTTCAGCTTTCATTATGTATTTCAGAAGATGGTTACTAGTTCATTATAGCTTAGAATACTGGAAACTATGCACTGAGGTTTGTTAATTAGTTACTGTGCTCGTTATAAAAGTCAGTAAGAGATCACTGTGTAGAAGGAACGTGACAGTCTTTCCTGTCACAGTGAACAGAAATTGTGGCAAAAAGCATCCATTTATCCCAGCTTTTGGTAGGACTCCCTAATTTA